GACTGGACAGTGCCATAGCCTCAGGCCTGTCCATCCTGCTCCCAGCCGAGAGCACCCCACACAGCCCCTACCCTGACACCACCTCCCTTCCACGTGCCCCTCAGAGTCTCCAGGAGCTGCTTGCTCCTCAGGGCCAGTCCTAAACCATTGCTTCTGGGTCTCCATGCAGCGTGTAGCAGGTTGTTAGCACCATCCTGGAAGAATGGACTTTCATAAAGTGACCTGAGCTTGGGAATTCAGGAAAGATCTCTCTGTGGAGAAGGACAAGTCGTCCGACTTCAGTAACATTTCCTGATGATCAGCCAAATCCAGATCAATTCCTAAATAATTTTCCAAGAGATTTACAGGATTGACTTTCTCTCTGAAAGGGATTCTGCACCACAATAGAAGTAATTCTCAAGAACACTTGTCATTCCTTTCACTGATGCAGAATACATGTGTTGGGTGCTGACACCCCTTTGAAATTTGTCGTACTGAATGTCTTGTCTTTAAGAACGGTATTAGTATGGTCACATGTTACAATAATTCCCTCACTGCTGGGAGACCGTTTTGGGGGCCTGCTGCCCTTAGGGAGCTGGAGATTTCTGAGAGTACCTGTTTACTCTGCAGACTGAGATCCAGGAGGCTAGAAGTTCTGCAAACAGAATTGTCTCCTATTCTCTAGGACCAACTGGCTTATGTGCATGATCCCTACTAACTACAAAACAGAAGTAACTTACTGATTTGTATAAGCATAAACAGAATTGCATGCTGTTTTCTTGTTCCCATGTTCATATCTTTAAGAAATGCTTGGGCTGGGAGAGTGAAAGGCAGAGTTGCTCTGGGATGGCTCTCTCCCCAGCCTCCCCTGCTGCAAATTCATTTACACCTGGAATCTTCATTCATAGCTGAGAACTTCTCATTGGCTCTCTGGGGCCTGGCCAAACTATCCTGATTTGCCTGGGGAGTGGAGCTGTCCTTCCCCATATGAGCCTGCTTCATGGGACTCACCACTCCCCTGGCTCCTGTGAGAGCAGCTGCAGGGACAGGTGATCAGGGTTTGTCTCATTTAGAAGCTTCGCTATTTTCTGCTCTGTCTCGTGCTGCATCGCTGTCATGATGATTCTGTTCCTCGTGTTTGTCCCCGTGCAGGTGAGTCTTTCTTGGTCTCCACTGGGGAGTCTCTCCCTAAACTGTTCCTTCTGGCGTGGGTAGAGCTGTGTTCCTCTTTTCCCTTTTAGCTCTTGGATTGATAAACACCAAAATCTGTATATTAATAGTGTTTTAACAAATTTGAATATCTTTGGTAGTTTCTCTTTCCAAATACTTGTTTTAACCTCCATTCCCTCCCAGCTTTCTCCCGAGTGTCATCAGTTACACATTTGGACCCTTGATACTGTCCTGCAGCTCAAATACCTGTCATTTCTCATTCTTTCTCTCTCAGTATCAAAGAATGTTTCTGATTATTCCATCATAAAAGTCAGTCATCTTTACATTTTATCAAGTAATATTCTGACAATGTCCTCAGTCGTATATGAAATCTCACAGAGTATCACATATTTCTAGAATGTCAATTGTGCTCATATTTTAATGTGCCCCGTGTCTTATTTGCATGTTCACTCATCTGCTACTCTCAGAACAGTGAAACATTTTCATGATAATAGTCTCCATGTCTAGATACATGACCTCCAGAAAATTTCACCTTCAGGATGGGCTCATTGAGTTTTGTATTATTAGGGCAAATATATTCCTAATTCTTCATGGGCAATTTGTGTAATGTCCCTTGTTATATACCCTAAACCTGTATTTATCTCTATGGTATAATTTTTTTTTTATATTTTATTTCTGTAAATTTATTGAACACATTCAATCCTCACTCTCAGCTAGCTTTTTATTCTTTTAAGAGTCACCGGATCAGTCTAAAGTTTGGGCAAATTTTCCCAATACTGAGCAAAGTGCTCCTGCCAGGCAACCAATGCCTTAATAGGATGTCTCTTCTGACCAGGGAAAAAGCATATATGACTGTGTGTGCCTGTGGCTGTGTGTGTGTGTGTGTGTGTGTGTGTGTGTGTGTGTAATTCATGCAAGAAGCTCCCTGTGATGAATCAGGGTGGTTATTCCTCCTGACCATCCATTTTCTCCCTCACACCTGTGCTTGTCACTGCGCTTAGAATCTTTGCTCAACTCCAGAGCTGTCTCTGCAGTTTCTCGAGCTCTGCCCTCTCAGTCTTTCCACCTTGGTCCTCAATCTCCTCAACTACTGTGGTCAAGGGCACACAACAGAGCCCATTCCTGCAGTCCTAAATCCATTCAGGACTCACATCTGCAAAGAATGTCTGAGAAGTGGTGGAGGGGCAAAAGAGCTGGGACTTGGGTCAGGACGCTCTTGCCTGTGTCTCCATCCTCCTGGGCTGGAGGAGAGTGTGACCCAGATGGGGACGGGGTTTATGCCTCACTTCCCCATGGCCCCGTGTCACTGTGGATGATTATTACTGCTGCCTGGTGAGAGGCAGTAATAGTCAGCCTCATCCTCAGCCTGGGCCCCACTGATGGTCAGGGTGGCTGTGCTTCCCGAGGTGGAGCCTGAGAATCGGGCAGGGATCCCTGAAGGCCTGTCACCAAAAATATCAACGAGCATCACAGGGGCCTGGCCCGGCTTCTGCTGGTGCCAGCTAGCAAAACGGTTTATTCCTTGGCAGGTGATCGTGACCGTCTGTCCCAAGGCCACAGAGACTGCCTGTGGTTGACTCAGCTCAGCAGTGACCACTGAACCTGCAAGAGGAGAGGAGAAGAGAGGTGAGTGTGAGGATGAGGGTCATTCCCAGAGGGCACAGCCCCTGCTGCATCCCCTGTGCTGAGCTGAAGGTCAGGCCAGGCTGCTCCCTGGTGTCTGTGTGGGCTGATCCCTAGGGCCAGCACCTGTGCAGATAACGAGGAGGGGAGCAGGAGAGGGCTCCAGGCCATGGTGGAGTGTCGCAAGGTCAGCTTCTAAGCCTGCAGCTGGGATGGGTGCTCAGGGCCTCTCTTATCCTCGGGTGGCATGCAAATCTACTTCCTACCTCCCTGTGGCCTGGCCTGGGGCTCTGAAGAACAGACAGAGCTCAGCTCATAGAAGACTGTGAAGTGCAACCTAGTGCCTGGTGTGTACTAGAGATTCTAAGACCTGGACACAGCTCTCTCTCTCTCTCTTTCTCACTCTCTCTCTCTCTTTCACACACACACACATACACACATCCATCTGTACCCTGTACCACCCTCTGCTTTGGGACAACCCTCATCACTCTCTCTAGTAAGGAGAACACACGTGGGGTGGACTTCACCGACTTGAGGAGGGAGCTGTGGGGACAGGAGTCACACTATGTGAGAGGCCCAATTCCATCAGCACGCAGGGAACTGGGTCATGTAACCTCAGGCAATAGCTCTTGTTTATGTTTAAGAACATACAGGAAGCATCACTGGAATGAAAGAGTAAGTTGCAGTCCTTTGATGACACCAGACACGTGATGTATGAAAGGAAGATGAATACACTGACCTCATCAAAACCCCTATCTTTTGATTTATAAAACCTCCTCCACAGGATAAAAGAAACAAGTAACAGGCAAGAGAACAGACTAGCAAAGACATGTCTGATGAACAGCTAGTGCAGAGAGGACACTAAGAAATGTGATCACTGAACAGTGAAGATACAACCACTGAGGAAAGGAGACTGAGTGGAACCAACACTTGTGTGCGGAGGATGCAGGATGGCGGGAGCGGGAGCAAGAGCTTGTCATCCGTCATCTGGAAAACACCATTGTAACCTGAGGAGAAGGTGTCCCCATGTGCCCTCAGATTGGCTGATGTAGAAAAGAGGACCCCAAATACTGGCAGGGTGAGGAGAACTGGGCCCTTACACCTGACTGATGGGGTGAAATTAACCACAAAACTGGAGACACCTGCATTTCCCACACAGGCCCTTGGTGGTTCTCTCAGGTACTTAGTTCAGATCCTGAGAAGTCACATTTGCAGAAGGTCTAATCACTGATAATCATGACACCTTTGTGCACAAGAGCTTCTCCAGGTGCTGTCCGAGAGAAAGCAGATGCCAGGCCTGGTGTCGGTTACCAGATTCTGTTTCATGAACCATGGAATCCTACTCAGCAAAGAAAAGGAAGATCTCTTCTTTTCTTCAATTTTTAATCTAAACTTTTTTAACATCATTGTTCATTCTCCCCTCAGGTGTAATCCCCAGAACATTCCCACCACCAAGTCACCCATGACCGTCACCATCGTTTCCTGTGCTCTTCCCACCCCTGTTTTGATCCCTCTCCCGCACCCTCCCCAGCTGAATGTCTGTCATTTGTATTTTGCTGCTAGTTTTGTCTTTTTCCCCCCTGATCCCTGGTTTGGTTTTCCTATGCCCTCCTGTAAGAGAAACCATCCGACATCTTTCTCCTCTTTCTGACTTATCGCACTGAGCATGATCAAAAAGGAATGACCTCTTAAGGCAACAATAACTAAGAGGCCCCAGGGAGCTAGTGCTGAGTGACAAAGCCAGTGCCAAGGCTGCACTCAATAGTCACACGGGTGGTCTGACTTCCCCAGTTCCAGAAGGAACAGGGAGCTGGTGGTCGCTTTGAACGGAGAAAAGGCCGGGGAGTTTGCACAAAGTTCATTAGGAGCAAAGCAGGACAAATTTGAAGCAGAAGCACCAAAGCAAAGCTCCTGTTCCTGGGAGGGGACTCGAATATGAGTTGTCATTGGCAGGATCCCCAAGGCTGCCTTACTGCTGGGATGGTAGTTGCTGGATTTGTTCTTCCTTTGATGGGGCTTTGTTTTGAATTTTTTGTGTTTCTCAGCTGCTGTTCCCTGGCCTGGATCTGTCCTGCTCTCTAGAGGTGGGTGCTGCACCCCCTTCCCTGGACTCTGTCTCCCCATGTCCCTGAGCTGTGTCCTGACCTTCATTTCCTAACTCAGTGGGACTCTTTTTTCCTAACCTATCCCCTCTGAAAAGACACTGTGAGATGAAAGAACAGTCAGAAAGTAATGCCTGGGTTAGGACTGGAGGGCGCTGGCAGGAGGGGAGGCATATTCTTAAAGGTCAGCACGCGGCCCCTTGGGCTAAGGGAACTGTTGGTATCCAGGCCCTAAGGGTGGATCTAGGAACCCACTCTTATTCCCTTCTGGGACCCTGGAGGGTGGGAGGGTGTGGTTGTTGTAGAAATTTACCCCTCCCCTGGGGCTCCTCACTAAGATGGGGAACAGCTGTGGGGTAGATCAGGTGACTGAGGCTCCTGGGTGAGCATCAGCATCTACCACATGCTGGTCATGTCAGAAAGGCAGCTTGGCCTCCAAGGTCTGTAATCACAGTCACCTCCTGGGGTGGGACCCCACATAGCCTTCAGGCCCCACCTGGGGTCTGTCCTGGCTGGCTGAGACTGCAGGGTCTTCCAGGAGACTGGGCTGGGGCCGAGCTGGACCATGACAGAAATCAGAATCCAGCGTTCCTGGGGTTGGGGTCCCCAGCACCCTCATTCTTTCTCTTCCTGTCATCCTCCTGTGTACCCCAGGCGCACATGCTCCCATCGGGGACTGTGGTTAAGAATATGTGTGTGTGGCTTCTGTCGTTGGCTGTTTGTCCATTACTGAGTGCATGGAAGTTTCCTTGTTAAACAACCGTCCCCTTTGGAAGAGTGATCACAGCTTGGTCTCATTTTCCAAGTGGTGTTGGGTCCTTGTTGTGACAGCCCCGACACCATTGACCTTGACACTCTAGGATTTCACTACTCTTTTGTATAAGATGTGAGGCTTTAGAAATCCAGACCTGGCTAAGAAACCCTGTTTTGGCTCCACGTGATCTGAAGATTCCCAGGGTCATGGTCTTTGCACAGAGGGAGAGCTCTGGGAACTGAATGGACAGGGGTTCCCCAGGGCATGTGGATTCTTAATTCAATGACCAGGGACAGCCCGTGACCAGACTGTGACCAGAGAAGGGAGAATTACTTCACGCTGCAGAAGGTCTCTTATGTGGGCACCGATCGCCTTCCAGGGCCCTGGGTGTCCCGAGAAGTGTGCCTGCCCCTCCTGAGCAAAGTAGGTGCAGCCTGAGCTCACAGTCAGCCTGGAGGACGGAGAGGCAGGAACAGTGGTGAGGGTGTCCCTGATGTGCCAGCAGAGAGGGTCAGCTCCCTGGGCACAGGCTCTATGGCTCATTTCCCAGGTGATGCCCCCTGGATCCTGGTCCCATCAGTGTCCTGGCAGCACACTATGATTCTGACCCTCAAAATATGGTCACTGCAGCCTGGGGGAAGATCTGGCTGTGCTGAGTTCCTCTGAAGCTGTTCTGGTTCCCAGACCCCAGGGCAGGTTTGTCCCACTGAGGCTCCTGGGCAGCCCAGCTTTGTTCTGGGGCTCCTGCCTGAAGCTCTGCTGCCCCCTGCTGGTGGAGGACAGCTCATGCCAGGAAGCTCCTTGCCAGCCCCAGAGTCCCTGTCCAAGGAGAGAGTGTTGAACAGAGTTCAGCCCTCCCCTGTGCCAGCTGTGATCCCTGGCCTCCTGGCAGATTTCAGCAAGATAGAATACGGGGCACGGGGGGCAGGCCATGTCAGTTTTTTGAAGCACATCCCACTTGTCAAGTGCCCTAGCTGGGGTGATTTGTTCATTTGCAAATTTGCTGTCTGGAACCTGAGTGATGCTGTAGGACCCCTGCCTTCATGTCAGCTCAGATTCAGGAAGAAGCCTCCCCCCTCGGCATGGAGAGGCTGATCATTACCAGGGCCACTGGTGCTTCCTGACCCGAAACTCAGTTGCACTCACCCCTCGTGATTATTTACCAGGGTTTTTATCACCATAAATTTCCCAGAGTTCATGTTGAAGCGTTTCTCCCTCAGCCTCGCCTGAACTGCCGCTTATTTTTGTCTTTGTATTTACTGTTGATATATTCTCGCAGCCCATACTTCGGTATAGCTTTTCAATTCAATTGATAGCCTCTGCTCTTAATTGTGATATTTGATTATTTACAATGAAAGTGGTGTTAACAGATTTTCAATACACCATGTTTTTTTTAAACGTGTCATATTATTTCAAAAATTTTCTCATCTTTTTTTGCTTTTTCCTTTATATGCTTCCATGTAATTGAATTGTATTATGATTCCAATTTATCTGTGTCCTGTTTTGCTTGTTACTGTAATCATCTTATAATTGTAATTTACTTTTTGATTTATATGATATTACATCATGTTACATATTGCGTACGGTCCATGTAACCATCATTTACTTTCACTCATTTTGCTACAATTATCCAGCAATTTACTGTTATGTGCATTACAAATTCTAACATACATGGTCAGTGCCTATTGCTTTAGACAGTAACATGCCTTTTTTTTATAGAGGTATGTTTTATTTATTTTTTTGTTTGTTTGTTTGTTTTTATACAAGCACTGGATACAGTCAGAAGCGCGGGAGGGTGAGAGAATTCACCAGAGCCAGAGCGGGGAGCAGAGCAGGCAGAAGGACCGAAGTACACTGCTGAGGGGAGCAGCGGGCGGCAGGAGAGGTCTGCGCGCCATGCGGGACCCTGCTCCGGTGGCCGGGGAGCAGCCGGGGATCGAACCGGCGCCGCAGAGGCCGCGGGCAGCTTTGCAACCCAGCGCTCAACCGCTGCGCCACCGGGGAGGCCCAGTAACATGCCTTTTTAATAGATTTCAACAATAGCATCTTATCTATGTAGTTGAAGTCCAGATTCTTTTCATTCTTTTTTGAAGATCCCTCCTACCCTTTGCAAACCCTTGCCCATATCTCACTCTTTTCCCTTCGTATGAATATCCCTGTTGCCAAAGAGCAGCACGGTTGTCTCTCAGACATGAGTCTGCTGCCTTCTCATTTGGTGATCAATTAAACCACTTTCCCTTTCCTCAAATTCTGTTTCCATTTATTGGCTGAGGGACTGTAGGCGGCGTTCAGTATCAATCACCCCACAGGCCGGAGGGAGGACACAGATGCTCTGTTGTCAAAGTGACCTCAAAGATGACCCGTGTCCTCTCTGTCCTGCTGTCTGGGGAGAAGGGTTGAAGAGAAACACAGGGTTGAAGGAGAAGAGTAAAATTCTTAGGGTTTCGCATTGAAATGGGGAGTAGCTCACCCTGTCCATGTGGGGTAGAGCCCTGGTGGAGGGAGGTTTTGACCTCACTTTCCTTTTGTGTCACTGTGGCTTCACCATATTGCCCTGTATTAAAGTCAGCACTACAGTGATATTCAGCTTCATCCTCAGACTGGACATTGGAGATGGTCAAGTAGTGGTCAGCCCCTGAGCAGGAGCCTGAGAAGCGATCAGGAATCCCCTCTCCTTGGCTGTGGCCTCCATCATTCCTAAGATACATCACATTCCCTGGGACCCTCCCGGGCAGCTGTTGATACCACGCAATGGAGGAGGTACTGAACTCTCTGTCCAGGGTTTAGATGCGCTTGGCTGATGTTCCCAGGGAGGCAGATACACAGGGGGCTGGGGCAGCACAGGCACAGCACAGAGACCTGCTACAGAAAATGCAATGAAGGGTGAATGACAATGGGGAGACAGCCCTAAGGACTGTGCAGGGTAGGACATACAGTGAAGGGGAAACCCTGAGTGTCTGGGCTGCTCTGACCTGTGGAGACCTTGAGAGGCAGGAGGTAGAAGGACACCCAGGCCTTGGTGGAGGCTTCCAGGAGCTCTGCCCTGAGGCTGCCTAGCTGCACTGGCCTCCCCAGGCTCCTGTCTTATTCTTTCTGCCTGCAGCTCCAGGAGGTGGGGCAGCCAATGCAAATCTCTCTCCATCCCCAGGGTGTGTGTCTTAGTCTTATGTGAGCCCTGAGCCTAAGGGCTTCATGCTGGTGATTTCCTGAAGGAAGAAGGAACAGGTATGGGTTTCGTTGGGCAGTTGGTTTTACAGCAGAAGTGTCTTCAAAGGGAACATCCGTCATGTCCAGTGCAGTTGAGCACAGCCCAGTGTCTGGACTAATTAGGTCTCCAAACCAGGACCACAGCGCCCCCTGGTGCCCAGGATGAATGTCA